GAACATAGAAGAAAAAAAAAAAAAAGGGGGCCTGAATTTTGTTTATGATGAATATTCATTTAAAGCGCGCACACACACACACACACACACACACAGGCGCATAGATAAGTAATGTAATTACAATACACTCCTGACAAGTCTTTTACATTGATACTCATGTCTGGCCAATGATTAATTTAAATTGTCACTGAATCTAATTTTATTCTTCCTTTCCTTTAAATGAGGTAAGATCTAATTATGGCCTAATGCATAACTTATTAAAAACCTTTTCTTGTGGCGTGGCAGCCTGCCAATCTCATCCTCACTCATAACACCAGAACTCAGCTCCTGCTACCAAGCTCTCATTAAACATGCAAACATATTCTTTTGCACCTTGCTGCTTCTTCTCGAAAGCAGCCTCACAAATGAGGATCTCCTAAATAATTCTCTGATCAATTATTACTTATGCAGCAAGCAAATGCTTAATTCTGTTTGATGGGACGGAATTCTAGCGGCTCGTCTGCGAGCATTTGGGGGAAGAAAAAAATTTTTTTCTCGGGTAACGAAATTGGAAGCGAGATCACAATGTGTTCCTGAAAAGAGGATTTCTAATAGATGAACAGAATTCTACTTTTATTTTGGATAGTTTAAACTCAGATACAGGTCCCCTGGTGAATCTCTCTGCAGTGGGGGGTAAAAGAATGAAAAGAATTCAAAAGAAGTGAGAGATTCGTTATGACTTTGATGGTGTGCAGAGTCCTGTAATAATACCCCAGAGGCCTGCGTGGTGTTCCACTTACTGCTCTAAACACGTACAAAACATGTCCATCCTAACAAATCCTTTAGTCCAACATTGATTCTTAATCATTCCACTCTGATTTTTCTAAGAAATTTTGAAAGTGTGCCAAGTCACAGTCTTGATGAAAGAATTTTCTTTAATCTAATGATCCTCATTTGTGAGATTAAAGAAATGTCTTTAATCAAGTGACACTATGCTGAAGGAGAGCGGTTTGCCTTGAAGATATTTTCATTTGAAGAGTTTCATTGCAAAAATGACATGCAGCGTTTTGGACTGAAGGCTTCTTGGAGCGACGCCCTCCACTTGCTCCAAATTCTTGAAATCATCGTTGCTTTTCTTTTTTTTTTTTTTTATTCACTTGTTCCAACCGGGATGCATTCATTTGGTGTCTTCTCTTACCTGGTCTCGAGGGGGATGTTGCTGTTGAGCACCCAGCTGTTGTGAAGCTGTGCCTGGTCTGTGCTGGAGCTGGTGTCTGCCCCCTGGCTGCCCTGGCTGGCCTGGCACCGCGTTGGCATGGTCTTCCTCTGCAGGCTGACTTGAGTGTAGGGTGCCGGGCGGGCGCAAGTGCAGGCGTGAGGCGGCGGCGGAGGCGGAGGCAGCGGGCGGAACGTGAACTGGCCACCTGGACTGCTGGGCAGCTCTGTGCAGAGACAACGAAGCAAAGCAGGCGAGGAGGAGGAGGAGGAGGAGGAAGGGAGGGAGGGAGGGAGGGAGGGACAGGGGAGAAATAAACATAGGTTTATTAGGAGCGCAGTACCATAAATTACAAATAAAAGTGGCGTGTTAGTTGACAGTTTATTGTTATTACACTGATTGAGGGACATAAATCAGCTGGAAAACTGTCCCTGTCCAGTGCCTTCCCCTACCTACCTGCTTTGATACACTTCCAGCAGCCCTATAAATAGGTTCTTGGCTGGCTGCAACATTGAGCAGTCTTTAAAGAGCTAACAGCTCTGGCTTAATCTGCACCCGCCAGCCCAAACTACCCATGTGATGTTTATTATGAGATCTGTAGCTCGACGGAATGAGCTAGCCAGCTGTAACTCCCTCACACTGGTAACCTCGGGGTCTAGCAAGAGTTCTCTCAATCCATCATTTATCATTCTCTTTCACTATAACTCTCCCTCGCCCCGTCTCTTCCTCCCTGCTGCTTTCTCTCGCCTCACAGTCTGTCTTCAAAAAACTGAGCATGGACTAATTACAGTTTTGCCAAATGCAATATGTGTGCATATGTTTGCTTAATGTGTGTGTGTGAGTGTGTGTGTGTGTGTGTAGGGCTGCAAATGAAGCTGCCTTGCATGTATTTGTAATGTGTATTTGTCAGGCTGTATTCACGGGTGTATATGAGCCGGGACATTAGTTATCAGTGTTTAGGGGGACAGCTTATGCCATATGGTTGCAGCATGCTTCCACGAACAAGGCAAATCCTTCATCCCAAAAGACCAACTCTGTCCAGCTGTATTGACAATGAATATAAAATTAGCCTCAAAGCAGAGGGTAAAGAGTCTGTCTACCAGAATCTGGTGGAAACACACACTCTTGGCTCTCGATAGTATTTGCTGCCAAAATGTCAGCAATAATTTAGTATCTGGAAATGTAGCTTACCTGGGAGATTACCACAGCCTTCTTTATTCATGTGTAAGTATTACACAGATAACACCAGAGAACCGGTTTTATGACTCTCGCCAAATGAAAACTGAGACGAGCGAAGAATTAAATAATCTTGTTTCGGCTTCTATTGCCAACATAAAAACTGGTGTGTTGCTGGAATACGTGGCTCAGCGACCGTTCTGTTTCAAACCGAGAGCGACATCTTTCCCAAATATTGCAGAGAAACGGTAATGGAACGCTTTATTGTCGACATTTCCATAACACAAAAATCTGTGCACATGAACTGACATCATATCGTCGCTTTGATCTCTTCAAAGTTATCGTCGCCTTTCTGCGCAGATATGTCAGCCAACGCGCGGCGTCGCATCCACCCAGTGTTCACTGACACACCGCATAACGCATCAGGGTTTATGGCCCTCAGTTGTTAAAATTTCACATTTACGAGACAAATAACGCCGCAGATATGTAAGGATGCAACGGCAGGACAGAAACAGTTGTGTAAATGGTCTATAAACATTTCCCCATGTTTGCACGATACCATCTGTCCAGCTGAAATGGCATTGTGAAGACAGTGCAGCAGCAGGCGTGATGATTCCTCTGCATACACATCCACTGTGTATACGTTCCAACAAGACAAACAAACACAATCAAAAGTGGGGAAGAACCAGCAAAGTGAGGCTAGAATTAGGGTTGTAGACTCTGCAAAGGCCTGACTTATAAACCTCATCAAGAGACTGATGAAGAAATGAGAAACTAAATGAGCTCTTTCAAAAGGAGTCTTCAAAGATACAACCAGAAGCTTGTAGATGGTTAAAAAAGAAAAAAAAAAAAAAGTGCCTAATTGAGGTAAAAATGGCCACAGGATATTTAAACAAAATATTAAAATGACTGGTAGATAGTGCCATATTTCCATCCATCCATTATCTATACACCCTTTAATCCTCATTAGGGTCATGGGGGGCTGGAGTCTATCCCAGCTGACTTAGGGTGAAGGCAGGAGACACCCTGGACAGGTCACCAGTCTATCACAGGGCTACACTTAGAGACAGACAACCAAGCACACTCACATTCACACCTACGGACAATTTAGAATCACCAATTAACCTCAACATGTCTTTGGACTGTGTGGGAGGGT